TGAGAAGCAAAGTGAGTGGCATCCTTGGTGATATGCAGTTTTTGTCTTAAGATTGACACTTCCTTTCCTTAAGAATAGATACAAATATTATCAGTGTAATTACTATTTAAAAAAAAAAATAACGTTGTGAATATGTATGAGGGAGAATATATATGCTTTTATTAAATTATTTTTAAAGAATATTACATTAGTGTAAGAAGAACTTGATAATAGAAAAGCTCATTGACTTTAAATGTATAAAATTCCAGCCTTCCAAAGGCAATCATTACATTTGCAATGCTATGACATTACATATGGTCTAACCATATTTGATGCGTATACAAAAATGTATAGTGCCCCAAAAGGGAAAGTATACTTAATGTACATAATCATTGATTTCTTTCATTTAACAAAAATGAGAAACCACATATAGAATCAAATATATAGAAAAGAACCGTCTGTGTATATATATATATGCAATAATTTTTCTTTTTGCATGACTCTAACTTTAATACTTGATAACCCTCAAATCTTAAATTTAACTCAAACCATTTTTTGTTTGTAATTTATCTCTAAGTCATAATTTCTCCTTATTTCACTAATTACAATACTATACGTACAATGTAATATAAAATTATAAGTTTACAATTATAACATAATATTAAATGAGTATGATATAATATTAAATAAACATATATAATATTATAGTTAAATTTTTAAATAAAAATAATTAATTATATAATGACACATTATATTATAATTTTATAATATCACATAATATTATAATTATTACATTTTCTATAAAAACAAATTTTCTTTCATGGGTGGAGTTATTGTCACATATATAAAGTGGCTTTTTTCTTTGGCCTTGCACGTATAAATTGGTTAAGCTATGCAAAATAAGTATTCTTATGCTACACTAATTATTCCGTCTCTTCCTTTTGTTTTTTTGTTTTTTTTATTATTATTATTATTGAACAATTATCATTTAAAGAGTGCTATATTTATTCAGCAGATGCACAAGCATTTAAGATCTCATTAGTCACTTCTTCTTCTTCTTCCTTTTTTTTTTTTACTCGAGCCATTCATGACCCCGAGTGCAAATGTTGAGTGCAACTAATATTTTTCCTTTCATTTTTTTTTTTTTTTTGGGTTCAAACTAAAGTTTAGTCCAACATTGTTAATAATTAAGAAAACAAAGGTGAAAAAGTTTTAAATGAAAAGTAGAGATTCCTTTGAAGTTTGAACTTTGAAGGTAAGGTAATGGAAAGGGAATAGACAAGGCACATGGACCTTGGGTGAGTGTGGGCACAGAAAACTATAAGAGATTTCCCCCACTTCTATTATAAATTTTTGAGGCGGCAGTCATATAAAGATTGTCTCCTACGCTTAAGATTTCAACTTTAATCCCAAAGTGCTTTTCCCTTACTTTAATAGAAACATGTACATATAATTACAAAAGGTGTTTTGAATGATTAAATGGCATTATCTCATCAATTATTTCCCAACTAGCCCTCCTTGCGAAAATTTTGGTTACTTTTCTTGATATCTAAGCAACATCAATTATTTATTAAATGATAGTCCATCTTTAGTTTTATTGATATAATTCTCCTAAATTCGTCCATAGATGTTTTAATATTATAATTTAAAACTTTTAATTTTAGAAATTAATTTTTGTTAACTAGACAACAATATAAATAATCTAATGATAATTTTTTTTTTTGTAAAAATAAAAAATGTTGGTTTGAATTGTTTGATATATAAGTGCAGTAAAGTACAAGACAATGATTATTGATTATTTAATTGTGTAACTTAAAATAAAAAATTGAATTAAAATAAATTAAATTGTTAATGAAAAAGCTCATTATGGGCAAATTTGAGTTAATTACTCTTTTTCATCTGATAGATTTAATCAATAAGTAACTTAATTATCATAGCGTAATAAACCATGCCCTACAATAGTTGATTTGACCTCAATGAGGACGCTTAATCACTTTTCTTATTTATTTTCTTTAAACTAAAGAGTTTAAAAGTTGAAAGAAGTAAAGGGGTTACAAGAGAGCCATACTTGCATGTATTTCAAATTTAACTACTTTTGATGCCATGACAATGATTTGGGATAATAGTAAAAAAATTCATATATCCTCCCATAAAAACTATTAAATGATGTAGGCATGGTTGCAATATTCCAAATTGAACCCATTAAAAATGGGTAAAACTATACATTATGACTTTAAATTTTTATTAAAGTAAATAATGTTTTAAATTTATCAATTTAAATAATTTGACTATTTTTTCTTGCTAGACATAATGCTTGTTTGTATTTTACTTGTATGGATAAAATTAATACATATTATGTAAGTAAAAACATGTCAATATTTTATCCACGTAAGTGATTCACAAATGAACGTTAAGTGTATTGTAAAAAAGAAAAGTTACATTACTCATATCATAAAATTTAGAGATTTATTTATTTTAATAAAAATTTAAAATTTTAATTAAAATTTTAAGGTATATTTAGAGGTTTAACATAAGATTATGCCTTAAAAATGAAGTTCCATATTCGAACCCTCACATAATATTGTTATGGCTCACACTATAACGTTAAGGTTATATAATTTTCTTTAATTTAATAATTAAAAATAACTAATAATTAATAAAATAATTAATATTTATTATTTACTATATTAAAATTAATTTATAAATTAACTTTTTTAAACATCATAATTAATTAATTTTTAAAAAAATTATAAATAAATAAAATATTAATCAAACGGATTTAACAAAATGGGGTGGGCCATACCATAACCATAACCCTCTGTAAGACTGTAATACTCATCAACAGTAGAAAGATGAAATTTCAGGGTTTGCCAAAAGAGATGGAAAAGAACGAGAACAGGAAAGGGAGAGGGGGAAATGGAAAAGAGAAAAGGGGAAAAAAAGCAGATGTGGAATCTCAATGCAATATCGGCAGATCGAAAATAATGAATGGGTGTTTACTTTGAGTGATTTAGATTTGAAATTTGATGTCTTTCATGTCCAAATTAGTGCTGGAATAAAAATGCACCGGCCCTCCCCCAATTTCAAAAAAGCATTGGTTTTTTTTTTTTTTTTTTTTTCTTTCCATGGCCCTCCAGTTTCTCCTTTGTATCAGACATTTTTGGACCCTCTGTGCCCCTTTTAAAAGGCGAGACTTTTGCGGCTTACGTGCTTTGCTTCTTTTTAAAGTCAGGAGAAAATTGAGGTTTTCATGGGCGTCTGACCGCGGTGGTGCACTGGTGGCTCAGCCACGCACTCGATCGGAGCGTAGTTCATTGCCTCGATTAGTGGGTTGTGGGCCATCTGTTCGGTTCGGGACGGGTCAGGTCGGGTTCATGGTGACTCGGGAACAAAGGAATGCAACTCATGTGAATTGGGAACGAGGGAAGATAATGCTTCTACGGGTCCCACAATACATGTCAGGCCCAGCGTCAGTGATGGGTGATGGGTGCTGGGTGCTGACTGCTGAGTGCTGACTGCACAGACTAAAAACGCGCATAGGATTCCGAGGTAATGTCCCGGGCCAGAAGGAATAAGGTTATACGGTGAGGGGGGCTCGATGTCCGCTTGTAGAAATTCCTGGTGATAATCACTTAATAACAACCCAAAGATTGAAGTTGATGCTTGGAATCATTCCACTTTTGTCCGCCTTTCTTTCGTCCAATTCCGCCTGTAATTTTTCCTGTTCTTGTTTCAAAGACAAAACGGTCAATGTCTTTTGTTTTGTCCGACCATTTTTTTTTATTCTTATCGGACCGGCTTGCGTGTGTTTCAAATTTCGTTCATAGATTTTTTTTTTTTTTTGGGAAATTTTTGGTTTAATGGTGGCTTTTGGGCTAATTTGAAGCTTGGAGCTGTAAGCTATTGTACATTTATAGCTTGGCCCAAGTTACTGAAGTGTGGGCCTAAAAGCCTAAAAGCCTAAAACCCAGGTTAGCTAATAAAGGAGGGAGGGAGTTAAAGATAAACTGTAGGAAAGAATGGTGGGTGCTTCTTCTCTGCAACCAAGGCTACTTTCTTCGTTTTTGGGTGACCATTTGCTCCAGTCGAGACGACATCCTCTCTCTCGACTGTTTGGCTACAATTCAGGTGCTTCGATTTCCTTTCCTTTACATCTTGTAGTTGTAGTTCCTGTTGCAATATGATTCTGAATCATTGCATTAGAAGGGTATGAAGTTTTTTCAGTTTGTGAAATGAGATACGGAACTTAATCAAACATATTGTGAATTATTACTTTATGTCGTGATTGGAATAGTGTTTCTGTAAAGTTGGTTTCTTGAGGGATGTTTTTGTTGGGTATTTAGTTGCTTAATCGTGGGTTATATATTTTTGCCTTTTAAATCTGTGAATGTCTTCACTGTTATTTACTTTTTGTTGATTGTTTCTAATACTCATTTCAGGGAGGAAACATGTTTCGATGCAATTATCTAGAACACTTTCTGGCTTGACCAATCTCTTATTCAATAGAAGGTCTGTCACGTATTCTTAATCTCATTGCATGGAATACTTATGACCTACTAAGTGAAATTGGAAACTTTAGGGAAATTACACACCTAAAGATTCACATATATAAGTGGACACTTGGAGTTAAAGGGCAGAGTTTGATGGTTTCATTGTTAAAATTAGGAGCAACTTAGATGAGCTACCAAACAAGCATAAACGTCTGAGGGCTGGAAAGATTTCTCCTCGTCGGCCTGTTCCAAGTCATATACAAAAGCCGCCTTATGTAAATTCTAGAATGGCACCTGGAATTGCTACTGGACCTGAAGTGCATGATGACGAGGGGATAGAGTGCATGAGAGCTTCTGGAAGGCTTGCTGCACAGGTTCTCCAGTATGCTGGTACTTTGGTCAAGGTAATGTTATGGTTCTTTTATCTCGTATGGCCTCAAAGATAACCTGTCATTCTTTTCTCTTTCCCTCACTTTGAGTTATAGGAGTTTGTGTTGGTAGATGAGATATTTTAGTGCACAAGTTTAATTTTCCTAAAATAGTCTTTTAGTTTTTCTCCTAGTCATGGTAAAACTTTATAGTTTCTAAGCTTCATTCCTCTCACAATTCCATACTATTAGGCTACCAATCTCTCATAATTTTTGGCTGTTAGATTTCCACTAGACAGAGTATAGGACTGTAATTGTGCATGCATTGCATTGGGTGGTGAAGGTTTTTCTGAAAGTTCCACTTGGTCTCTCATTTGGCAGCCAGGCTTAAAAACAGATGAAATTGACGAAGCAGTACATCAAATGATTATTGATAATGGAGCATACCCCTCACCTCTTGGCTATGGTGGGTTTCCTAAAAGTGTTTGCACATCTGTGAATGAATGCATTTGCCATGGAATACCAGATTCTCGTCCACTCGAGGTCCTCTCCATTTGAGTTCTTAGATAAGCTTCAGCCTGTACATCTAATTTTTTCTGTCAGAATAGGGAAACCTCTAATACATATTTTGACTTGCAGGATGGGGATATAATCAATATTGATGTTACAGTGTATTTAAATGTAAGGATTATTCTTTTCTTTTCTTTTTTTTCAGTGAAATGGAGGCATAGTTCGTCATCTCCTCAACCCCAACCTTTTCTCCCTCTAAAAGAAAGCAAATTACAAATGGCTTACCATTGGCATTATTTGTTTGGCTTGTACATGCCATTTTCTCATTTTAGTATTGTTGAATTATTAGTTTATTATCATTTAATGAAATCAATGGATTCTCCTGCAATTTCTATATGTCACGTCTCAGCACATGTTTCTCCCACTCCATCTTAATTTTATGTGTTGTGACCAGGTGATCTTAAAAGACTACTGTTTAGATGCAAGCAACATGCTTGCAGCCTTTGAGATCATTTTTTTGCTGATAATTTTACACTGAGTTCTTTGACTTCCCAAATGTTGTTCATTTATTTACTTTCTTCCTTTCCTTTTTTTTTTTTGGTTCAGGGTTATCATGGTGACACATCAGCAACTTTCTTTTGCGGAGCTGTTGATGAGGAAACAAGGAACCTGGTTAAGGTAAGGTAGCCTCTTGTAATTACATCTTCATAGAGTATATCTCAAGCCTCTTATTCATTCAGTAGACTTAGATTTTAAATAAACAGTATGTTAAAAAAGGATGACACTCTGGGTTGTTTCTGAATCATGGCATGGCTTAGTCTGTATTAACTTACCAGTTCAGTTAACAAGAAAATATTAATTAGAATAACCAAGAATATTTTTTGAAATATAGTTATCGGTGTCTTTAGAGATTTAATCTGCTGCCTTTTAATTAACTTCAAGACTGTGATCTGAGCCAAGATTCAAGCTCCATAAGGCATCCTTCAAGCTTTGCATTGTTAGTTGAGATACAATGCTGTTTTGGCAAATGGTTCAATGCTTTGATGTGTATTGAGAAGAATTCATATTGAATCGACCTAATATTTGCTTTGGCCATAAAAATTCACTGGACTCTCTATGTTGTTATAAAGTGTGAGTAAATGAGTAAAGGAGCTATTCAAAGGATAGTCCACTTCCCCAACACGTAATTCTATAGTCCTCCCAATCTACCCATACTTTGCCTCCTCTCTTTTACATGTAGGTGTGTGGCATGCCAACCATTGTTCTTTCAACCTTAGATTTCTTTATGTCATCAACTCCTAGGCATTTAAATTCTAAAGAGAAGGTGGAAAATATCAAGCCTGTAGTCATATAAGTGACAATCTTAGGCTATAGATAAATTTTTGCCCGGCTTTATTCTTCTTCTAGCTTGCTGTCTTTCTTCTGTTTTTCACTTAGGCCGTATATCATTCTTATAATGCATATATTTTATTTGTCAAATTATGAAGTGTTTTTTCTTCCTTTTATTTTGTCAAATTTTTGAGAAATACTGTTTTGTGAGAAACTTGTTTCAGTTTTGCTTCTGTCGTAATTAGACTTACCTGAATAACTTTTGGATGCATGATTTAGGTAACCAAAGAATGCTTAGACAAAGCAATATCAATATGTGCTCCCGGTGTAGAGTTAAAGAAAATTGGGAAGACAATTCAGTAAGGCTCTCAATTTAGTCTCTGTTCTTTGCTTTATATCCACATATGCTGTCCTTTCACTGCAAAGCCCTGTTGAAATCATGAATCAATTGTGCAGAATTGGATTGTTACTTTTGTTTTTCTCTTTTCCTCTTTTTTTTTTTTTTTT